GCTGCAAGCATTCTCGGGCCTTGCGCTCTGCCCGTCTGATTCCCCAGATTGAGTGGAGTCCCTTCATGCCAACAGACAGAGAACAGACAGACCACACTCTCGTCCACGAGCCCCGTCCCTGGCTTGACCCACACCCCTGGCTGAAGGCACCAGGATGGGATTGAGGCGGCCCCTTGCTCCCCTCCAAGGAGCGTTGGGAGACTGGGGGGCACCGTGGCGCACCAGCCCTTCCTGCCTCATTCCCATCTGAGTTTCCAGCCAGCAGCAGACGGATTACAGCCCAGTGTCTAGTTCCCCACGTCTCCGCTTTAATTTCCAAGTCACAGGAAGCCAGACAGTGCTGCTCACCCCACAGGGCGGGGGCGGGGGAGCCCGCTGCCTCTGGCTGACCCAGGTGGGCCGCTCGGCAGCACTTCACACCACTTACAAGATGCCTCCCAAACTGCCAACAACTTGGCCCTTGCTGAAAATGGACGGGAAACACTTCCTAATGAGTGTGGGCGCTGCGCTGGAAAGAGCCTCACTTTACGGAGCGCCACCCAGGGTCGGCCACTCATGGGTAGCCCACTCTCAAGCTGGGACCGGTAGGGAGCCCTTCCCCCAAAGCACTGCTGTTTGCTGAGGCCCTGGGCTAAGATGGGGTCCCCACCTGCTGGGCCTCCCTGGGGCAGCTGCCTCTGTGTGCTCCAACCTCCCTGGGGAGTCTAAACCACCACACTGCGGGAGGGGAACTGCACGTGGTTTGGGGTGATACCTGTCCCATCTCCGTCAGCTGAATTTCACAGATGGGCACCAGTTTACGGGGAGTGGATCCACTCATGGTGAAGCCCAGGTGACCTGTGCTCCCTGGGGTTTCCAGGGCTTGCCGTTTGGGAGGTGAGCACCAGGCCTTTCTTCTGTGGTACGTCCAGCTGGACTTCCAGTTAGCAGCTGAGCATGTTAGCCTATGTCCACCCAGGGACCCTTTCCACCTTTCTCAGGTGATCTTCTCTGACCTCCTGTCAGACCTCCAACTCCAGCCAGTCCCTGATTGCCAGGGCACAGAGCCTGCAGTGGAAGGGGGTTTCCGGCTTTGAGCCCCTATATACCGGCTCCTATCCCTGGCAAAATGCTCTCTGCTCCAGACCCGCTTCCTTTTGACCGCACTGCTCACCTATGTGCACCTGGGTGCCCACCACCTGTCCCAGTCCCTGCAGTATCCAGTGCCGGCCCCCACAAGCATTGAAGGGTCGGCGCCGCCATTCAGACCCACTATGTGCTCCTCGTAGAAAGACAAGGCAGCCTGATTCCGTGAAGATAACAGAGACCCCATAGGGGCAGTTCTACTCCCTGGGGTGGCCAGGAGTCAGAGTTGACTCAGTGGTCCACTCCAAAGGAACCTCACTGCCGCAGCCGGTTCTGACCCACAGTGACCCCGCGGGTCAGGTGAGGTCTGTCTCTGGGGGCTTCCGTAACTGTAGCTCTTCATCGGAGGAGACAGCCCAAGTGCGTGGCCCAGGACTGGCCTTTTAAACGACTTTAAATGACGCTAGCTTAGAGAGTCTGTTCGTTTCTCCTGTGGAGCAGCCGGTGGGTTTGAAGTCTGACTTGTGGTCACTGCACCACCAGGGTTCATCAAGAGATTGGCTTTCTACTGCCCACCCCTGTTCCTTGTGGTCAGCCCCAGGCATGTTTGTGGCATGTATGATGAGGCCGAACAGGTCTCCGCAGAGCTTCCGTAGAAGGCAGACTAGGGAGAAAGGCAGCCCACGCACATCCGTGAGAGTTAGGGTGAGGTCCGCAGCCAATCAGAGACCAGGGTGTGTTTCATGCTGCCTTGGCTGGGTTGCCACCTGGCAAGGCCCACTGGCTGGCAACTAGCAGCCACCCCCAGGTCCAGCCAGTCCCTCCTGGATCACACATGATTTCTTCGGGCCCAGAGAGAAGCGGTGAGGTGCCCACATCCTGGTCCTTTCCATTCCCAGCTTCCTCTCCCAGAATGCCCAGGCTCCCGGCCTCACGTCCCACCCATGCTTGGCTCCCGGCGTCAACCTTGACAGGAAGCCAGGCCTCAGAAAATCGATCGTGTGAATCAGGGCCGCTCTCCAGTGGAGGACCTCGTGGAAAGAAAGCCCAGGAGAGGCCCCTACGACGGGAGCTCTGTAACGCCGCCCTCCTTACAAGACCATCGCTTGCTTGCCTGGAGTCTGGGGCTTTCAAACCACATAAGGTCTTATGTGATCATTACAAAATCCCTCATTTCCCAAAGGCAGGGTAGTAAGGATTAAGTTTGACTACAGAAGACAGCTTTGTTGTAAACGGCCTCTCGTGTCGCGGATGGAGCCTGCAAAGAGAGAGAAGCTTATCAGGCAAGTTTCTTGGGCTGCTAATCTTTGGGAGCGGTTGCATGGGGTGCTAATGTGCTTAGCACGAAAGGTGTCCTCTTGGGTGTGTAGAGGAAGTCTACAAAGCCACAGTGTCCCCACCCAGTGCCCACAGAAAGCTGGCTGGTCTCCAGGGAGCCCCTCGGCACACACAGCACTGGCAGGTGCCCACCTCTTTGCACCAAAGTGACCATGGGAACTGGGCCTGGTGGAGGATGGGACACGGTGAGCTAACCCCCAAGTGGGGAACCCACAGGGCCCACCAAAGCCATTCCAAGGACAGAGGAGCTGGGGGACTGCACGGAGTCAGGAGGCACAGAGGGGCTGGGCAGGGTGGCCCCCCTACTCTGATTCTCACTGTGCTTCGCAGGCCACCTCCCTCTGTTTGAGCAGTGCTTGTGTTTCTCCAACCTTAGTGCAAGGGTGCCACAGCACAGGCGGGCATGTCTCGGGGCCCTCACAACCGTGGCCATGAAGGCTTGTCCACTGGTATTTGTTCCACTGCCACCAGCACCTACCGTGCTCCTCTATTGCCCTCTGGTCCTTCCCCACCCCGGGCCACCCAGTGGGACAGAGCAAAACTGCTGCACATTCAAGTTATTTGCACAGCTCCGTAACATCTCTGAATCAAAAGAAGAGTGTCAGCATCAGTCTCAGTTCTGTCTTGTTGTTCGTAAGCCTCTCTCTCTCTCTCTCTCTATGTTTGGAGGGGTGGGTCCTGTGCTGCGTGTTGTAATGACAATTAACAGTGGCACTTTAGGACAGAGTAGAACGGCCCCTGTGGGCAGTTTGGGGATTCAGCCTGTTTGCATTGGTTTGGTAGGACTGATACCTAATTCTTTTTCGTAGAGTTTGAAAACAGGTGGTTAAAACGGCCCTTGTAATCAGGGTTCTCTCTAAGGTGGGTGACTGGGCAGCTGCCCAATGTGGAGAACACACATAAACATTCCTTACTCGTTGTTAACATACATCTGAGCAATCGTGTATTCTAAACACCCACAGTCATGTTCATTCTAGCCATAAAAAAACCCACAATGAAACAAAACTCGCTGCCGTTGAGTCAGTGCCGGCTCACAGTGGCCTCTTGTACGTTACTGACACTGGAACAGTTTACGGGAATAGAGAGTCCAGTCTTTCTTCTGAAGAGCTGCTGGTGGTTTTGAACTGCTGACCATGCGGATTCGCAGCCTAACATGTAATCACTGTACTACCAGGGCACCTATTCTGCCCATAGGCATATATATATCTTAAAAAATTAGACCAAGGGATGCTTGTAATTTCTATTAATCCATTTATAAAACGTGCTATACTTTGGATGAAATACTACATTTCTAGTCCCTTGCATTTGCTACGTCAGTAAACAAACGTAGCACACAGGGAGGACAAGTGATAGCCGGAGGCTGACAGGCAGTCACTCATTTCAGCTGTTACACCCCAAACTTCCACAAGACACCGTGAGTGAGTTGTGCACTTCCAGACAGCCTTCAAAGGACTGAAAATATCATCAGAACAATTCTGGTAACTTCAGCAGAATTGGAAAGGGGTTTTTGAAAGATGAACATAATACGTTCAGAGACGCGAAGTCACCTGTTTTCTCATGTATCAAACGCAATGACTGTTGTCTGATTGGCCTACTTTTAAGGCATAGAATTCTACTCCTGCAGTGAAGACGACCGATGATGTTCAGATAAACCAGGCTGATGAAATCAGATTGATGTTTGCATAAAAGTAAAGAGCATTGCAGGTGAGATACCAACCAAGAAACAACAGGGAAATGTCTTCAGCTTTTTTCAGGTGGCATTTAATATCTCGTTAATATTTTAAAATTCATGATCTAGTTCGTGTACCTCTTTTACTGTTCTTATTAAATCTTAACTGTATGAAACAATATGCTACCTTTTGGTGTATGAGATTGTTTTCTACTTAAAACGGTCATTAGGACAGTGAACCGGTTGTTCAATTATTTGAATCTCACCACTGTTTGGGGGTTTCTGAGATTGTAACGCTGTACAGGAATGGAAAACCTCAGCTTTCTCCTGCACGGTACCTGGTGGCTTTGAACTGCTGGCCTTGCCCGGAGCAGCCCAACATGACACCAAGGCCCCTTGTGAGGACACCCAGGGAGATACACAGGTGTCCATCTAACAATGGCTGCTCCAGGGTGCTCTCAGCACAGGGAGCCCGATGCTGGCTGTGTCTGGGGGCCCAGGCTACCCTGATGGCTGCTGCCAGGGCAGGCAACCCCAGCCTGGTGGTGGAGGACAAGGCCACTGTGCTTGGGGGCGCCTCTGGGAGGTCCCTGTGCTCTGGACGTACAGTCTGCAGGTCTGGAGTAGGATTCCCAAGCCTAGACACCGGCTGCTTGGCCGCTGACATGCCCCAGCTCAGGGGCACATGCATGCTCTGAGCCCTACGTACAGCGGGGCTGCGCAGAGCAGGGCCAGCCCCAGTCCTCCAAGTCCGCAATGCGCATGCTCCCGCGGAGCTCCGTCGCTTGCTGGGAGTACGCTCCCGGGCCTGCCCTTGGCCCCGCCTCCGAGCCTTCCAGCCCCGGAGTCTCTGGCTGGCCCTCCAAGTTCGGCCCCACCTTCGCCCCGCCTACTCGCTGGTCCGGCCCCGCCCCGGGCCCAGGACTTGTTGGGAGCAGCAGCTGTTTGCACTGTGCGCATCCTGCTGCGCAGTTCCTGGTTGGCGCCTTCGGCGGCATGGTGAGTGTCCTGGTGGCCTGCCCGGGCAGAGTTCGGGCTCTCCCTTGGGAGATCGGGTGTCTGGAGCCCATTGGGCAGCAGCAGCCCCCAGTGGCCCATCGAGCATCTTCCCCTCCCTGCAAGGCCGGTTCCCAGCCACCCCTACCCCTAGTGAGCCCAGGTGTGGCCCCGGTGTTCCACCCCACCCCCACCTCCCACCCACTCCCACTCCCGGCTGACAGTGACCCAGGCAGGGGTCATGGTTTCCCCTCCTCCTCGCCTTGGCCAGGCCTGTTGGCCCTGCTCACGTTCCTGAGGAGCAAGCCTTCTGCAGACATGTTTGCAGTGGTCTGCCTTTCTCCAAGGCAGCAGAGGGGCCAGTGCTGGTGTGGTCTAGGCTGTGGCTGCACTGTAACCACTTGGAATAAGCAAACGGGCCCTAAGAGTACTTAATGGGCACCTAGAACCCAGGCCGGTACCAAGACAGCGCAAACCGTGCCTTGCTCACTGGGCTTCCTCTTTTCCTGAAACCTCACAGTGGTCCGCGCTCGCTGCAGGAGCTGGGCCGGCTCCCTGTGCTGGCGGACAGATTGTGGTGTCTTTATTTGTTCAGCTTTGACTTGGCTGGGTGGGCTGCCAGGCCAGTAGGCTGCTCTGTCCAGACTGGGGCTGCACAGCTGTTTGCTGCAAACCACGCAGCTCCTGGGCATAAAGCACCACGAGTGGAATTGATTAGTGGAATATAAGCCCAAATGTCAACTTCTCCATTATCTGTTAAGTCAGGCCCTCCTTGTCATTTCCCGTCCCCTGATAAGTGATGGCAAGATGGCCCTTCTGTGTCTGGACAGCCTCTTTGGAAGGGTTGGCACAAAGCTGGTTCCTAGGACACAGCAGTTAAACATGCCCAGGTGTCTGACGTTTCCAAACTGCCACATCACACCTTTACCTCCGTCATCAACTCACTGTCCTGGCCCAGTAATTCAGTGTACAGCCTTGTGGAACTCAGGAGCCGGCCTTAAGGTTAACTGGTTCCTTAGAGAAGTACCAGAATCCGGCTAGGGGTCCGGTTAACTGAAAGTGTGAAGAACAACTGGGACATAGGATAGCTGCTTCTGCCCTGCTGGGGGCCTCTTGGGGCACAATGTACCCTTTTGGCTCTGAGGGTCAGCAAGCCCCACTGCATTTGTCTCACCCCTTTTCATGGGTCCTGCCTTCTGGCACCCCAACTCTGGGTGTTGCTTGTTATAACTCCTCTCTCTTTAAACCTAATTGGAGAGCAAAACTGGCCAATCCCTTCATCAGGTCTCCATGCCCCTTATTTGCATGCCCCTCCCCACCACAGGATGCCTTGCCCATTACTTACATTAGTCACAAGCTAACCAGTCTCCTTGGTGAGCACACACCCCTCCTTTGCATAGTCCCACCCACGTATTTGGTGGAATTAACAAAGATGACCTTGGGCTCCAGACTCTGGCTCTGTCCTATCTAAAGGACCAAATCCTTTCTCCAAGTCCCTTTCCAAGACCAAAACAGCCGTACAAACTGGGTTCCGAAGGATGGCGGGCCCTGCAAGTCTGCTGCCTGGTCCACCTGATCAGGCCAGCTTCTCCCAAACTGATGCCAGCTGCAGCTTCTGGCCTCTGATCCATTTAACTGGATTGCTAGGAATGCAACACCCAGCAGGAAATAGTTTTAGGTGTTAGTGGACCAAACTCTGATAACACTAGAATTCTCCCCTAGCCCCTCTCCCCAAGACTCCCAGAGAAGTACAGGGCTCTATCCAATGGAGATCCTCCCTCTCCCTGTTGGAACTGCCATTCAAGAACCGAGCAGCCTTCTGCTAGGCAGCTGGGCACTGTGTGTGTGGCAGTGGACTCAGGCATCTTCTCAGGTGGTTCCAGAGTGAAAGATGGCAAAGAGGGAGCCTTCATGGTATGGTGGTTACACATTGGGCTGCTAACTGCAAGGTCTGTAGTTTGAACACAACAGCCACTCCATGGGAGAAGAGTGAGGCTTTCTACTCCCATAGAAACCAACTCACAGGGGCAGTTCTACCCTGCCCTACGTGGCCACCATGAATCAGAATTGACTCAGTGGCAATTAGTTTGGGTATTTTGGGTTTGGTTCCTGGATACGGTGAGGGCCACCCTGCCTGCCCCCAGGTGCTGGTATGAACCATTTCCATATGGTTACGGAACGACTTGGGGCACCACCTTATTAGGCTGTTTCTCTGATATCACCCAAGACATTAGGGGTGTCTGAGGCGTCCTGACTTCATATCCTTTGGCGACTGGGCAGCGCCTCAGTCTCCGCTGTAGCTGTTGGTGGGTCATTGCCCTTCAGGTGATATCCATCGTGTGCCACTCAGAAACCTTCCGTCCAGAATGCCAGTGGCCGTGGCAGGGGCAGCGTTGCTCTCAGCTTTTCTCCATTAAGCGCCAGTCTGCAGAAGCACGTGTGGCGGGTACCTCCGGATTCACATCCCCATGTGCTTCCTGAGCAGGGGCATGACACCACTCTCTGTGGCCCAGACATGGCCTGCTGTGGCCGGGCCCACATTCACACCACGTTTTGTTCTGAGTGCTTGTGTTCTGATGGGAGTCGGCATCTTCCCAGACTCGGAATATGCACCTCTTCCCAAGTGCACCCAGACCCGCCTAACACTGGGCCTCCTTCAGGTCCTGGGGGCAGGTAGCAGTAGCTGTGCCTTCAGGAGATCACGGGTGCCTCCTGCCCACCTGATTCCCTGGAATCATGAACTGGATTCCCTGGAATCACCTGGACTTATGAACCAGCCTCGTCCGGCTGCAGCAGAGCACCAGTCTGGAGGGTGGCACAAGATGGGCAGTGTTTCCTTCTGTTGTACTCCGAACCCACCGAACAACCACACCACGATGCTGCCGGCCACCTGGGCTATCACTGCGTGCAGACCAGGCCCAGCCTGCTCGTGGATAGTGAACAGGAACACAATCAGGGTAACCCACTGTCCAGGAGACCGACGCCAAGTCCAGTCACCTAACCAAACGGACAGTGCCGGCGAGATCATGCCCAGGTGAAGCTCTTTTCTGAGCTGGGGCACAGAAAAAGGCCTCCCTGTGAGCAGTCCCTGAGCACTGGTCTGTTAGTCTCTGATAGTGGAGTGGTTACACTGGGCTGCTAACCACAAGGTCAGCAGTTCAAACTCCCCAGCTGCTCTGAGGAGGGAAGACGAGGATTTCCACTCCCATCAAGCATTACAACCTCAGAAAGCCACAGAGGTGGGTCTACCCCACCTGTGGGGTGGCGATGCATCAGCATGACTCGATGGCGGTGAGTTTGGGTCTTCCAAAATGTTCTGCACCAGCGGTACCACGTCCTGAGCATTGAAGCCCCAGGTGGCCCTCCTTTATTTAGGCCTGGGTAGTCGATAGTTGCTCCTAGAGCCGCCTGCCCTTTTCTTCTGCGATGCAGGTGGAGATGCGGAGAATGCTCTGGCATCAGCACTCCAGCCTTGGCTGTTAGGGGCTGTCAAGCCGATTCAGAGTCACGTGACTGGCAGGGCCGCAGTGTGGGGGCACGCTCACAATTGCGCTGACGTCCGAGCCGGTTGTTGCAGCCGCAGCGCCTTTCCTTTTACAATGTCAGGTAAGGGGAGTCTTCCCTAGCTGGACACACCGTTCACTCCCATAACACATTCGGGTACTCAAGCGAAGCCAGACTCTGCCATCGAATCCGTTTTGACTCACAGTGACCTCTGGGTTTCTGAGCCTATAATTCTCCATGGGAGCAGAGAGCCTCATCTTTCTCCCCGGGAATAGCGGGGAGGTTCAAACTGCTGGCCCGGTCAGCAGCCCCGTGTGTAACCCATAACCCCGCTCAGGCCGCTCACATTCGGACAAGGTCTAAGGCCTGTTTAAGCCCTCCAGTTCTTGTCCCACTTTCTCCGGAGTCCCATCCTGTGGGGAACAGAAGGATTTCTCTTAAGTTGTCTCCCCAAAATATGTACCAAACTTAGCTGCTTAAGAGTGACTCTCGACGAAAGTAAGTCAGAGGTTATTCTCCTTAACATCAGTCATCTTTAGTGGCTAGACTATTAGTCTGACTCATCCTAAATAAAGCCCATTCCCTTCTGTTATTGTTCCCTCGAAGCAGTGCCCATAGGCAAGCCCGGGACCACTCCAAGATGACTAAGCTCAGGCTACTATCTTGCCACACATGCCCCCTATTCCCTCCTCTTACTATTGCACATTCACCCTTAGGTCATCCCCCTCCTATTGCTTGTATTGCCTATGTTAATACTCCTCCTGGTGACTCAAGTTGTTGTCCACTATCAGGGAACTTGCATGCCTCCCAGAATAGTAATTGTCTGTTTTATTATGTGAGACATTAGAGTGATCAAACTTGTTCTAGAATGAATTGTATTGCCCCTTTCTGTGATGTATGATTATGATGCGTGGTTAGCAATAAATAACGAGGCTCCCTGGTACTTGGGAGGGTGGCTGGAGAGGGTGGCTGGAGAAGGTGACTAAGGAGGACGAAGCAGCGGCTTCTTCTCTGACAGCTAAGCCCCCCCCACGAGGACCATCAAGCCGGGCGAAGGTGAGATACGCTACCATGAATTGCGTCTGACTCCATTACTTGACTCTATCTCTTAGCTCTCATGCTCTCTATGACTTTACTATATAATCTCTACTTATTATCGCTGTACAATTGCGCCTACCAAACCTGTGATGTTTTGTGGGGTTCCCTCTTCCCCTTAACCCCACACCATCCACCACTGCACCCCAGGTCCCCGAGTCTAAGCTCAGGCCCCTGCCAGGTCTTATTGGGGATTACAGCACATTGAGCTTCCATGTTCTAGAGACTCAGGAAGGGAGGTCTTTGCCCGACCCTGGGGCATTTTATCCACACATAATCTCTATGGCCTTGAGTCCTCCCTTGGGGCTAGGCCAGAAGACACAGGCCCCTGTCAATCCTTCTTGGGAACCCAGGTGGGACTGTTCATCATTAAACCCCTCCAGGTGGGGTTAATGGGCCGACCT